AAGTGATATAAGGGCAATCCTAGCGGAGCGGATCGCCAACAAAAGTGATTATAAGGGCAATCCTAGCGGAGCGGATCGCCAATAATGTTGAACATTTCATATCATTTACATTGAAAAGCATACAGCTAGGGATGTAAGCGATGTTTTATAAATATACATTTTTTATAAATCATAATAACTAGTAATATTCAAATTGACCAATGCAGAAACAACGTGGTGATGTCATCGGGAGCTTTTATCAATATTAATGAGTCAGTTCAACGTCATCCAATCGGCAAGCCCATAATTTTGAGTGGACGATCACAGTTGCTATGTTACTTGACGAATTGTGCACGCATTGTGGACGCAGACAATGTGGAGCTCTCGAGCCAATCATAGTAAAACCTTTGATAAAAGCTGATGATCGGTATTTACAAATTGTCATAACTATGTTTAGAAACTAACATACAGCTTTTTGTATCTCACTGTGTAAATGTCTAATAAAGTGACAATCACTTGAAGTTCTGTCACAGATTAACACAACAGAGTCGCAGTCTGTATTCAATAGTAGTCTGCCCGTAACGAACATTTACATCAAAGTCAAATACTTTCAGCAGAAGGGACACATAGGATGTTACAGCATAATACGAGTAGCACTGATTGATATCAACACTCTGCAAACGTGGGGATAGAGATACCATGGCGAACATGCAAGGAAACCATGAAACATACCTTGTGAATGGCAATCACAGATGTTTTACCCTTGATTCCGATTATAAATAGCTGATACGTCACGGTGTTTTTCGACATGGTTATTTTCAGTCAGTTTGTTGTAGCCCTGCACTCAAAACGACTTTATGTAACGAGTAATGCCGCAGACTGTTCACGTAGATATTCGCGTCACAGCATTTCACTTATTAGGTGAATTTCCCAGCCGATTTACTCCCGTGCTCTTGATACATACCAATGTATTATTGTGCGTACGAATAAGTTCGGGCTGCCCGAGTGAGTCGAAGGTTATCAGCCTAGCCCACAATATAGATATTTACTTATAAGTGATATTAGTGATCAGACCGAGGCGTCATGAAAATCCCCTTTTTAAATATAGCATCTATTCTCTGAGCAGGTTATCAGCCTGGATCACAGTAGGAATATTTACTGATAAACGATATTAGTGATCAGACCCAGGCGTCATGAAAATCCCCCGTTCTAATTATAGCATCTATTCTCTGAGCAGGTTATCAGCCTGGACCACAGTAGGAATATTTACTGATAAACGATATTAGTGATCAGGCCACGGCGTCATGAAAATCCCCCGTTCTAATTATAGCATCTATTCTCTGGTTATCAGCCTGGACAACAGTAGGAATATTTACTGATAAACGATATTAGTGATCAGGCCACGGCGTCATGAAAAACCCCCGTTCTAATTATAGCATCTATTCTCTGAGCAGGTTATCAGCCTGGATCACAGTAGGAATATTTACTGATAAACGATATTAGTGATCAGGCCACGGCGTCATGAAAATCCCCCGTTCTAATTATAGCATCTATTCTCTGAGCAGGTTATCAGCCTGGACCACAGTAGGAATATTTACTGATAAACGATATTAGTGATCAGGCCACGGCGTCATGAAAAACCCCCGTTCTAATTATAGCATCTATTCTCTGAGCAGGTTATCAGCCTGGATCACAGTAGGAATATTTACTGATAAACGATATTAGTGATCAGGTCACGGCGTCATGAAAATCCCCATTTCTAATTATAGCATCTATTCTCTGAGCAGGTTATCAGCCTGGACCACAGTAGGAATATTTACTGATAAACGATATTAGTGATCAGGCCACGGCGTCATAAAAAACCCCCGTTCTAATTATAGCATCTATTCTCTGAGCAGGTTATCAGCCTGGATTACAGTAGGAATATTTACTGATAAACGATATTAGTGACCAGGCCACGGCGTCATGAAAATCCCCATTTCTAATTATAGCAGGCTTCTTTAGAACTGGTGAGTAAGTTCACGTGACGGGAATTCTGAGTTTCGTTGTGCATACATTGTTTTTGTTCTCCGTATTTTCTAGTCTATTCTCAGTATTACAAGCGATTGTTGTATAAACATAAACCTGCTAAACGTGAGTATGATATTATTGTGGTCTTCGCAATTCAGGATGGGTCAATCGGGTTAAGTACGCAGCCAAATTATGCGGGCGTGATATGCTGGAGTGTCAGAAAGAGATTTGCGTAAGATTGTTTCATGTTTATTATTATTATATTATATTACGTCACTGGAATACCCTGGAAAGTCCCGGTCAATGCATTCGAACACTGTGCTAGAGTTTAACATGGTTCTTTGAAAACAAAATACGAAACATTGTATCTCCATAAAGGTCACGAACAGTGTAGCGCCACGCAGAAGGTTCAGTTGACGATCGATATATTCTGGCGTGTCTTTGCATATGAGACAGGTTCTCTCATTATTACGACCCGATCTGTGTCGATATGAATTTTAAAAAGCAGTTAGCCAGTAGGTAAGTATATAATGACTTGTATTTGTGTCGTTATAGTACAGTATTACACTAAACGTTTATAAAAACATACAATAATCACGTAATTTCAATTCGAAAAAGAATGAAATCGGGTTGTCGTGCCGATAGTACTGATAAATACTTTAAAATGTTTGTAACATTAAAATGAGTATAACTGACCAATCATAAAAAAATAATTTTCCAGCCTACTTGCGTAATTTAAAAAAAAAAGTCAAGCTTTAGAAAATAAGGCACCACTCATTTTTAACAAAATGTATTAATTGCGTTACAGAGATAGTTTTCCACTCTATATGCCGCCGTTGCCGAGGTTACATTGGCTTGTTAACTGACAGTGAATCCCCTAGTGCGAGCACGAAGTGGAATTCACCGTCAGTTCAGCAGCTTCTATGGGTGTATGGGCGAGGCGGTTTATTATTCCATTTTCCGTATGCTGCCCCCATCGTCACGAAGTGAGTGTGGCCAAGAAATGAGTCAAATCATGTATAAGAATATTACAACCGCTTTAACACTTTGGTGTAAAATAACATACGTCAACTATACATACATTTTAAATGACATTTGTAAAACATTCTGGATAATCACAATTAGTTAGTGAACGGCTAATACAACATATAATGATTTCAATAATAGTCAGTTGCGACCAATATGACATGGTCAAGTCCGCGGCTCCGGGTATATAAAAGGAATGATAGCTTACGGAATTAAAGAAAAAAGTCAACTTCAAGTTCAACTTTGAAGTTACAGATGAAATATTTTCTCAATTTCTCACAACAGTGGATATGATGTCATACCATCACCCACAATCTTTTGCTGAAAAATTAAGATGGTGGACTACATAAACTGATGAAAAGTTGAATATCTAGTGAATGAAAAGTGATATAATAAAACTGTAAATTGCATTTTCTTTTACATTTGCTGAGCTCTTTCATCTTTCCACCGATTCCCTGACTATGATGATGAAAGGTCACTGACACTTCACTGCCTATTTGTTGAATGAGACTGCATTTATTAGGGAAATGGTATACCAATTATGTAGATTACAGACTAAACCGCACATGGGTGTATGAGGTGTGGCTATGTGAAACCCGTCGATTGTGTATACATAGTTAAAGGTAGGCATACTACCTGCTTCAAAGCTAGAGTATATGACAATTGTTTTACAGATTGAAGAAAGAGTTGACCGCAGTACAAAGGTCACCACCTTTTGGCATAACTGTCTATCTACCGGATGACAATTTGCATGTATGGAATGCAGAAATCAAAGGACCTGCGGGATCCCTATATGAAGGTATGATCTGGTTCTGACTGAAAATCAATCAATTGTAATAAGATCTTGAAAGTCATTCTTTACGTGAAGCGTATTGTTATACAACTGAATCTAACATACAAAATGTCTTATTGATATATCTTAATGTTACTTTACAGGAGGGACTTTCAAAATACAGATTACATTGCCGTATCCTTTTATAACGTTCACTGAATAACTATGAACGCACTATGCAGATAATTTGGTAACAGAATAATACAGTACGGTTCTGCATCACCGTTGTTTGTCAAACATGCATGTGTCCTTAGTGTGAATCAAAAATAAAGAGCAGAGTGAAGAAACAAAATCAAAAGTGGTACCCATCTTTCTATCGTCTGTAACAATCTAAGTGTCCCGGGTGTTATGAAATAAGAGGCCAATAATACACAAAATGACATCTAATGACATCAATATTAATATTTACCGAACAATCAGTTGATCGCTTTTGCCCAATAATATTAACTGTTTTATATCTGAGGAATAATACATGCCATAAGTAATAAGGACCACAAAATAGCGAATCCAATACCCGAGAAATTGAACTTATTATTAACACCACAATTGTAAATATACCAGAATTGTATACTCTTCTATTTGTTATAACTCCAGTCCTCGTGGCATAATATACCTCCATTGATCTAGCATCAAACTTGTCTTTGGGTGAGACTATTTATTTGATACTGACATTAATGACTGGCCAGGCACAACACAAAACCCAAACCAGGAATTTAACATAACCAGAATCAATCCCACAGCGCAGACTCCCAAGAATACACATGCGAGATACGTATAATTTAATTACACTTAGAAATGTACCTCAATACAAGAGAAATATTGTATATATAGTGAGATGATAATGTCGTCTTAACTGTGTCATAACATGACTGGCACGGTGTGCCCCGAGGACAACTTGAGTATATGAGTTACTCCATGTCAGATAACCCTCTGTTGATAAACGTTCACGTCAATATGTTAGATATTTTTACAATGTTATTTATTTCTTAACTCCTCATTCAGGGAAAACTATCCGATGGAACCTCCGGTGGTTAGTATCATAGAACCTCCAGTAGAGTACAGAGAGTAAATTTGCAAACAAAATCAAGCAGGAAAAAAACACAGAAAGGCAACTGTTATTATTATTATATAGTTATTGGAACCCGCCTGAGGCTGATATCAAGAATTATTGTCTTTCAATTTCCTGTTATTCGAATCGGCTCAGTAATAGCCGCCCGGGGAACAATAATTCTTGATATTAGCCGTAGCCATGACTAATAATTGTTATAATATCCCGAAAAAGAACAGTAACACATCCGATGACATCAATGGCAAAACATTTGTCATGTGACAACTTGATGATAACATTGACTGTCTCATGCTTGAGGCCGGGGGTAATAATAATAGTTATTAAATCGCACATACAAACATTTATTTGAGAGACATCTTTCTGAAAAATACCTAGCTGAAAACTATCGATAGAAAAACATAACCACCGCCCATGTGAACACCTTTACTAATTTGATAATCCGACTTCCCGGGACGTTATTTCACTCAAACTCAGCCTCGTTTACTATGCAATAACGATATCTCTATTGCATACCTTT